CATATATATATATATATATATATATTTAATATAGGTATGTAGCTTAGTTGTAGCATTTCATTTTCCTTTTCTTTTTTTTTTTGTGTTCATTTGTATTTTGTCTTTGTTTTTGTCATTGCACTCAATTCAGTTTGTTCGTATGGTTGCAATGGACAAAAGTTACGAATACATACAGACACACAGACACTCATTCATATATTGGCATATAAACAAATAACACGCAAATAAATAAATACAGCTTCGCAAAAATTTAAGTGCGCAAAGTGAAGCGTTATAAATAAAGCGTAGCCACTAGCCATCAATACAAGATACTTATTGGTCCCATATATACAACCAAACACACGTAGGCAAAATGCACACATTGTATATATATATATGTATATACATATATATATATATATATATGTATATATATGTGCAAAAGGGGACTCTATAACTGCATAGCATTGCAGCTAACATACAAAGAGATCTGAACAGCAATAGCAGCAGAGGTAGCAGCAAGCTATAGCAGCACTAATAGTTAGTGGAAGTAACAACATATAGTAGTTAGTAGTAGTCATTGTACTTAGTAGTTGATATAGTGTTGAACTCTAAACAAATGCCTGCAGCCTTATAGATACTTCGTATATAAATATAGGCAAACGACACAAACACCCGCTTTCCTGCGTTCAGTAGTTTCATTCACATTTGGCCAGCCAGGCCAACCGAAACTTGTGCTAAATCATAGTTGTACTACCACCTCAAACACTCTCTCCATGGCAACCAATTCGTCTATAAATTACGAAAACATTTACTACCGTACATATACATACGCACGCAGAGGCATTATTTATACTGTAAGCACCAACAACAGAACAGAACAAATGTTACAAAGAGCGCTTCTTTATCCTTTTTGACTCACAAGCATAAGCAAACAGACAAAAAACAAAAAAAAACAGACACACATATACACACACACACACACATGCACATATATACACGTGCGCGCTTGTATGTTTAGAAACATTCACAATTCTACATAAACACAATCAATATATTAAGAGCTGACTGAGTGTTGAGTTTAGCATTAATGAAGAGATATATTTCAGCAACACATTCTGTGCTTATATCGGATTGTGTGCATATGCTGTCTATTCTACATATATATATATAAATATATATATATATTCAAGTATTGTTATGGTTTTCTTTCTCTAATGATTCTTTTGGTTTTTGTGTTTTCTTTTTTTTTTTTTTACATTTTCATTGTTTCTTTTTTGATTGTTCTTGTTTTATCCTGTTTGTCGTTGCAAACTTCCTTTGCATTTATATTAAGAAAGTTGTTGCTGATTTTGCTTCATATGCTTGTTTTTCTTATTCGCATCAATCTTCTATATACTCTCGGCTTATATAATACTATTTAATATCTTATGATTTTCTCTCTCGTTGTCTCTCTCTCTCTCTCGCTCTCCCCATCTCTCACTCTTTATCTCTCTATTTCAGTTTTTCACTCTCTTTTGCCAAAAATTGACTGCCATTGAAATTTTTGTCTCATTTGCTTTTATTCCTATTTTTATTGTTTTTTCGCTCATACATTGGTTTACAGTTGTGCACGTTGCTCATACGCACTGTAGTATTTATAACCATTTGCTGCACACACACGTTGCATCAGTTCAAAGCTAAACAAAACGAAAAAAAAAAAAAAAAAAAAA